TGGAAAGAATACAAATACAAATATCTATAGTATAAATACATACAAAATAATACAAAATATAAGATTTTGCACTCTACGTATTTGTATTTGTACTCCTTCCAAACTGAGCCATTACGAATGCATGAGAGTGCAAATGAGAAGAATGCAAATTTTGGTTCATTTAATTTGTCTATAGTCTTGTTAATGATACCTACTCAAAAAAAATACAAAAATACAAAAAAACAAAAAAAAATCTTTTATAAATATATGAAAATGGACCTTGTTTTTAAAAACAAAACAACTGTCGCATCAGCAAAATTATATTAATTTTGTTTACATTGGTTTTGAAGTCTAATTGCGCAGTTCAATCTCAAAACGACTAATTGGTTAGCTTTCAACTGGATTCGGGTCTGGTTTCCAAAAAAATGTGTCCCACACTTAAAAAAGAAAATGAAAGAAATGTTGAACCATTCCCAAAAGACTTTCTACGTATTCATAATCATCCTTCTTCACACACTTAATATTTGTTGAATAATAACTTCTCGAGAATATTCAATATGTATAATTTTATTTCCCTACGTATTCATAATCATCCATTTCATTTATTGAACAAAAAAAAAAAGTAAACTTTTTTTATTGTCTGAATTTCCAAGTCAATGGGTCTACATGACTTGGTCAATGAGAGATCACTTTCTTTTTTTTATTTTTTGGAAAACGGCTTTGACCCAATAAAGGTGGGGTACTATATGCTAGACCCAATTAGTGGGGTTAGTGGGTTAATGGTGACAATAATGTAAATACCAACCCACTAGCATTCTCTTACACGGAGAGCCTTTTCTTATTCAAATTTGAACTTTTGAACTTACAACCCACGCCTAGGAGTGTCAATTGGACTGGATTTGGTCCAATCCTATCCAGTCCAATGTGAGGAATAGACTAGGTCTAATCCAATTTAATGAATATTTTGGACTGAGTCAATTTAATGTTTGGACCATCTAATTTGTTTAAATTCATGTTTAATTATTTAGATTGTTTTCAACCCAAATCCAGTTCATTGACACCTATATTCTTATATCAATGGACTAGATATTGGCTTAATCCAATCCAATCCAAATTTATTTCAAATCCAATCCAATTTAATAAATATTTTGGACTAGATAGATCCATCCAAAACCAGTCCATCGACACCCTTACCCACGCCTTCTCAAATGGAGGGATGCCGAGTGACCGACTGAACTAATGAGAAAGAAAGCATCCATTGAACCATCGATTGTTTGGAAAATTTTAAATGGAAACCCTCTCTCAAAGTATAAAGTAAGAAATTGAAGAAACTTAACATGGGCATAAATCTAGAATCTAGTGACATCATTTTGATGGTGTGAAGTGAAGTGATGATGGCATGGGATATGATTTCTTTCCACTCCAATGTGAAATTGTGAAAATATATGGTAAATGATGCTTTCTAGAACCTCATCATATATATCCCTTGTTGAGCAAGGCTGTGTAAGGATTGGGAGTCAAGTTGCGAATCCACAATTTGGTGGGTAATGGAATGATTAGAAATACAAAAGTGGATGCTTTTTTATATTCCATCTAGTCTGGTTTTCCCACCTTGAATTGCACAACATGGAAAATAGTAGATTCTAGAATTCTTTTCTCTCGCTTTTTCCCATTTTGCCCTAACCTGGTTAATAATCTAAAGAAAACTCAGGAGAGCATATTTTCCCGTAACACTGAGTGGAATTACAATTACGGAGAATGAGAGCTTTAAATAAGGTTTTTAAAACTGGATCAGATAGGGAACTATTATGGAGGTCGAATAGTCCAATTGTCTTGTTCGACCGACAACCTGTTTTGATTTAAAAAATAAAAACAATAAAAATGGCCAAAAACCGCTGTTTGGATTGATAGTTGGATGGTTTAACTGCCCAGGCAGCAAATCATTAGCCAAATAAACAGTTTTTGGACAAAAAAACGGTTTTAGGGTGAAAAGGAACTGATTCCCGATTTTTCTAATCCAACCATCCAATACGATTCGGTTTTGAAAACCATGTGTTAAATACACTTAGATACACTTAATACTACATAAATATTGCATATTGTACAATTCAAAGGGGCATAAATATCTTTCTATACTTATATGTTTTTATTCATTGAGAAATATTCTCAATGCACAACTACAAGTAGCTATGAAGACGGTATAAGCATAGTCTTATAAGGACTGAATCCGAGTTTGATCAATATTCATGAACTGAAATTGTTTCAGCTTTCAAAAATAAAAAATCCTTGTATTTAAGGTATTAGAGACCCTAAAAAGCTATATGCTTCAATTCATATGATTCATGCAATTTGCATCGATATTTTAATATTGGCTATAAATGCTATCTGAATATTCAATTCCAATTTAATTGTATAAGGTTAATATGCATTTATTAGCAAAGTTTATTTGAATTTGTATGTTTATAAAATCAACCCTCAAATCCTTTATTCAAATAAATAAATAAAAAATCAATTCAAATCCAAATATTAACACTGAATTTGGATTTGCAGCTCTAAAGCAAGACAAGGCAAAGAAAAAGAAACAAAAATGGGTTTTTGGATTTTAAGAAAAAACGTGGTAGTGTGAATCAAATATGACAAGAAAAATATTATTAGATTTCAATGCTATATTTGCCACGTGGAGGGTTTAACTAGTATTTCTATTTGTAAATAAAATGAGAAAAAAGACAAAAAGAATTAATTAACTATAAAGATTTCGAAAACAGGATCACCGGTCACATATTATGAAGGTGGTGTTTGGTACTATTGCCAGAGTGTTGAATTGTCGTTTTTCTATGAAAATGACCATGAATATTGTTTGAGGTGTTGCTGCCAATTAAGGAGATGCAATAATATTATAAACAAAATTTTGATTGACAAACAATTTTAAATACACTTTTCTGAAAAAAAAAAACGGCACAGTATTCGAGTAACATAATGAAGCAAAGGTGAGACATAGCAATAAATATTTATCGTACATTTCATTTGCATTTTTAACACTATTTTTCGATAAAACGGCTTATCTACCAGCCATTTACCCAAAAACGTTGATTGGGATTGGTTGAACGCTTTTAGGCCCTCTTCGTTTTTGGTAAGTTATTCATCGGATTAAATACAGTTTTCAGGGTAAGTTTTTTTTTTTGGGAAATGTTTACTTAGGTAAGCGCATTTATCCATGTTCTTTAATTTCTCATGTAAATAAGGTAATAACCATTTTAGCCATAAAATTCAATTATTAAAAGGGACATTTTTGTCTCATTCAAGTGTTGGCAACTTCCCCCTAGGTGGGAAAGTTATTTACCCACCTAGGAGTTGGGTATCACTTACTCGACCCTCACATAAATCTGAGAAATGAACATGGGACTTGGTCAATGGGAACCAAAATCCCATTGACCAACTTTCCACCCTCTCAAAATCCAAAAAAAGAACACACCCTTAGCTGTATAACAAGTTGTTGGACCAATGACAAATTACATGGTGCCCAACCTACATTTGCTCTGGCCCTGCATTGAAAGTCGAAACAATTAAATCAAAGTCTTTGATTTGTTGCCATGGCCCTACCTTCAATTAGATGAAATGACTACTTGGCGAGGCCATTCCAGTACTTCTAAGACCATGATTTTCTGTTTTAGCCCTGCTTAGATGGTATCATAGCAAAGAGTCTGGACCACCTGCCAACAAAACACGTTTCAACCCTCTACCAACGTCATCTTATACAGCACATTCTCATGGTGAGATGTGCGGCGTTAGATCAAGTTGGTAGAGAGTTGGAACATGTTTTATTGGTAGAAAATCTCAACGCTATAGCAAAAGTGAACTCCATGGCCTGCATAAAAGTAGGGTTGCAAGTCAGGCTGTGTTAGGTAGGGTTGAGGCCAACCCTATCCCAACCCTAAGTTCTTAACCCCAACCCTAACCCTAACCCAACCCAACCTACCCAACCCTAACTAAATTCTTTTAACCCTAACCCAACCTGAAGCCAACTTCGGGTTGGGCCCAATCCAACATTCTTTCCATTCCTTAAAATCTCATAGAACTTCTTAATCTTAAATCTTAATGCAACTTTCACTACATATATTAATCATATGCTTTATTACTATAAAATCGGGTTTGAGTTGTCCGAGGAGGGGTCAACCCTAACCTAACCCGAAGTAAAATCGGGTTCATAAATTTCAACCTTAACCATAACCTGAGCATCAACTCAACCCTCGAGTTCGGTTAGGGTTGGGTTCGGGCCAACCTGAACCAAGTTGCAACCTTATGTAAAGGTTGAATGGGAATTGATATCTCATTTTTTTTTTTTGATAAAAGAATTGATATCTCCTGCTAAGTGCTAACAAAACACGTTCCAATTAGGGGGGTCAACAATATTCGAAAATCCGATTTCGAATTCGAGATTCGACATAATCAAATTGAATTTGGATAATTCGAATATCTAACCGGTCATATTCGGATATCCTTTTCATACCGAATATAAATATCCAAATTCGACCAATTATTTAATTCTTATATATAATATATACAATTTTAAATGTTTTATATAATTTATATATATAATAATTAAATTATATAAATAATTTATATATTTATACACTTTATATAAATAAAATATTTATTCTATATATTTATTAATTATCTAAAATAATTAATTAGTCAAATTCGAATCGAATTAAATATTCAAATATTTAATCAAATTTAAATTTAAATATTAATTTTCAATATCAATTTTTTTAATCGAATTCGAATTCGGATATTGCCTGATCCGATTCGAATTCGATCACCTCACATCTCGCAGTAGGGCCCATTCGTTGAAGGATAGTGGGCCGATGTATTTTATGAATTTTGACTGATGTGGATCAGCAATTGCGTTCAGCTAATGTATCATTTATCGTCTTTGGTAGCAGGGATAAATTTGTCAAAAAAAGTTATGATTAAAGTACTGTAGTTTTCTGACTTCTGTTTGTCAAGTTGTCTCAGAGAGAGAGAGAGAGAGAGAGAGATTGCCTCTCTGGTGGGAAAGATAAGAAAATCAGGTGCGCCAGTAAAGCAAACGCAATGGCGAGTGGAGAATGAGCTTCAATTGACGAAGACAAGAGTCTTACAAAACAAGAATAAAGAAAAACTGAAAAAGTTTGAGGAAGTTTCTAAGCTAATCATAGCTACAGGAGATTCGTCACCCACCATTTAAGCCAAATGATTCGCTTCCATCTCCTCCGCAGTTCGATCCCTCCGTCTAATCTTTTCAATCCTCTTTCGGCCAAAACCCTTGCATTCTCGCTTCCTTCGATCTCGGGAACATCAGCTACGAACCTGAGATCGCAAATGGGGTGTTGCACTTCGTCTTCTCAATCGTCTAGGCTTCTGTTTCGTCAACTCTTCGAGAAGGAGTCTTCCACTTACACCTACTTGCTTGCCGATGTCGCTCACCCTGACAAGCCGGCTCTGGTGAGGGCTTCTTGTCTTGAAATATAGGGTTCTTCTTTCAGTGAGTTCGTTCGTGAATGATGTTTTTCTGTTTAATTGGTTATGCTTGTTTTGTTTTGAAGTGTTTATTGTCGCAATCTGTTATTACTACTTATGAAGCATATGGCTTTCTCACTTCTTTACGTGAATTTAAAAAAAAAAAGAAAAAGCAATCGTGTTGAATGTGCGGTTTAGCAGTTGATTTGATTGGATGCAATGCCTTCTCTGTGATTGCATGTTTCTTACAGTTTTGTTGATTCTTTTTGTGTTCTATGATGTCTTTTGTTGTTTAGTGGTTTGTATAATTGTTTGACTTCGCGGAGTAATAACTTCATGAAGTTTCATTTTCGCCCTTCCAAATGGAAATTTTCATTATTCAAATTTTGCAATTTAGAAGCATGGTGAAATATGTGGGATCGGTACTGTTTATATATTCGCAAAAAATTCTGTTTTATTGGATCCTGTTTAAAGCTCTGGTTTTGACTTATTTTTACACATAAGCAATTAATGACTCTCTCTACATTGTATGCTGCATGTAGAGAGAGCTACACAACATTATAACTGGAATTTTCTTCAAAGGGTTATGGGGATCAGAATATACATCTAAAGAGGTTCTTCTAATTATTTGTTTAAAATCATCAATCAAGAGTGGCCAGGGTGCTCGAGTGATAGCCCCTCTTGGACCAAAGGAAGGAACATCACCTTGTGCCTTAGTGGAAACAGCCTCCTTGATAGGATGATTAAAAGTCCATACAATATCACTTCCCGATCTGAGGCTAAACCCCCAATTCCCAAGGGCCCTGGATTGCCCAAGGGCTACAATCAAACTTCAGGGGAACGTCCTCCTCAATGGAGTTTTATGGACTGCAGTGTTTGGATGAGGGATGGGTTTGAACTTCAGAACAGCTGTGTGATTCTGATGAATCTCATTACAACTAGGCCTCTAATGTCCTAAACTCCATTTCAGCAGAAACTGAAGAAGCCACAAAAAATAAGACTCTTCAATAAAAGATTTGATCATTGATTTCTTCTTGAACATCCTTTTATTTTGCTTCTCCCAAAGTTCCCATGTGACTAATGAACAACTACTCTTTTCATGATCTCCCCCTTAATCTCTCCAAAATAATGGTCTTCACTAGGGAATCAAATCCGTTAAAAATGGCAAGCATCCAACTCCATCCCAACTGCAAACGGATCAAATCAAATCGGATATAGGTATGTCCAAATTTAATTCCTTTTATATTTGAGTTCGAATCGGATTGTATTCATCAGGCACCTAGCGGATTCGAATTGAATTTGGATTATAACCTGATATTAAATAGTATAAATAAATTACACTAAAAGCTATCAAAACATTATTCATTGTTAATAACTTAATATAATGAACTAAAATGACTTTAATATTATATTTTATGAACATCCCCCCCTTTTTGCCTCTTTTGAATATAATAGTTATCCTTCTCAAAAAAAAAGATTATATTTTATGAACAAAATGAATTAAAAATTACTCGTATGAAACTTGAACCTATGACAATCTAGTGAAAATACAACGATCTAACCAAATTTACTGATAGATATAATATAAAATTCAAGTATATATGAGCATATATATCTTAATCGAATCGAACCGGATTATATTGGATCAGATAGGGGTGGATCCATATTTAATCAAATTGTAAACTAATCGAATTCAGATCACCCTTAATAGGGTTGAATTCGGACAATCTGATACCGTTTGCAGCCCTAGTGTTTGTTTCTGTTATATTTGGATATTAACTTAATATGGAAAATCACATGCACAGACAGAGCAAACCTGAGATGTGACCATATACGTGTGTGTGTGTGTGTGTGTGTGTGTGTTTGTGTGTTTAGACTATAGTCTGGCACCATAGAATCTAATGGAGCCTTCTTTTTATTTTACCTTGTTGATCAGTAATCTAATGGCACCTCCTTATTAGATTGGTGAAAAGGTTAACCACTCTATGTTGTCCAACATGCATATGATTCCTTTTTTTGTTGTTCTATTTTTTTCTGCATGAATTTTTATGCTAGTTTTCTATTTTCATTTACTTCTGTTTGCTTAGCTTTACTTTATTCGTTGAAGCCATGTTTAAGGCTCAAGCTGATTTAAGTCATGTCTGCAGTTGGTTGACCCAGTAGACAAGACAGTGGACAGAGACCTTTCTCTTGTTAAAGATCTTGGATTGAAGCTAATTTATGCCATAAACACCCATTGCCATGCTGATCATGTCACAGGAACTGGCTTGATAAAGGTTTGGTGGTTTCTTTTTTGTTATCATATTTGACTAGTTAGTCTTTTAACATTGCCAATAATTCTTGGGTGCTGCATGTGCTTATTGGAAATCCTGAAGAAAATTCAATTTGGCCAAGCACTATTCTACATTAATGTTTTATACTTAACTGCATTTGTCCATACATTTCTTTCTTTTAACCCCTTGGCCGTACAGGGCAAGGTCCCAGGTGTTAAGTCTATCATTTCAAAAGCAAGCAATTCAAAAGCTGATCTTCTAGTTGAACATGGTGACAAGATATACTTTGGAGATCTTTTTCTTGAGGTATACCCGCAGACTTTTGCAAAATTTGATTGTTCATGTGATAAGTAGACTCCATACATGAAAACTAGATATGTGCTCATTTACATTCTTCATTTCCATTTGGATATTTTAAGTATCATCTGTTCCTAATGATGATCAACTAACATGAAATAAAAAAAAATCGAATGTCTCAATATGATTACTTCTCATTATTAACTTAAATATTATTCATGGAGATTTACAAAATTCAGGATTTGTTTGATGATTCTGTTTAAATATTCTCTGTTTCTTGTTTGCTGGAGTGAAACAGAACACAACACCAAAATGGGCCAAACTTTGAAGTTGGGTGGTAAAAAAAATAATAAATTGAGTGTGATTTTATTTAAAGTCCTACAGGTTGGAAGGGACATCATACGTTTCTATTATCAGTGCCTACAAGATGAACATGTTTCTACTTGACTAGAGACGGTGGTAAGAAATGAAATTGAAGATCCAATGATTAATGATATCATCTGGATACTTGAGAATTGTTTGCATGAATATCACATTTTGGTATATGCCTAAGTTGATGCATGCTTGGGTGGATGAAGAATAAAAGAGACATTTCATAAACAAAGAAAATGAGAGATTACAAGTGAGAGATGATAAGATATCCACCCAAAGGAAGAAGGAAATCACCCACAACAGAACGCAACAAAAAAAAAAAAAAAAACCAACCCTACAGCTCAAATCCAGAGCCAACCACTAGCCCTGGCCAAGATGACTATCTCTGAACCAACCCTCCTGAACACTTCAAACAACAGCATCTAACCCCTGTAAAAACCAGCATATCAAACTTCCATAACTCTACCCAACAATTGCACTTAGTCCTCCACGTCTGAAACTTCTTCCTGACCCTCACCCCACGCATCTTTACCTTCCCCTGGTGTATTGCTCTTTTGCTTCTCCTCCCTTTTCTTTTTCTCAAACTCTTCAAAAGCCCTTCTAGCAAAAGCCTCATCACTCCCCCCCCTCCAAAAAAAAAACAAGAGAAAAGAAAAGAAAAGACCCAATGATTTACCAACTTCAACAGCCCTCTCAACTAGTTTCCCTAAGTCCAATTCTCCGCTCTTTCTTTCCCCACAGTCTGAATTCAAAACTCCATCATTCATTATAGTTTCACTGACTCCCTCCTTCCCTTTCACCTCTAGTACTCCAATCTTCTTCAACTCCCCTGCTTCAGGACTCCCATAATGATAATTTGGTCATCGGAGATAACATAACCAAAAACCTTGTAGTTTGAAGCTCTAAAACCACCCTTCCTTCTTGTAAAAACTCTCTTATATTTATTGCTCGGGCCAGCCCTCACAAGGCCCTCTTTTGACCTTGAATAAACCTTAGTAACAAGCACCAGATGAGACTTAGTTGGTCCTCTTGGTTTCTTTGCAGCTACCAAACCTTCACCTGACGCTATGCAATCCAATACCAACCTTTTCCTTCCCAAATCAACTCCAATCCTTCCGATTAGCACTTCCTCAACTGGTCAAACATTGATATTCCTTTGGAAAACATTATTGTCCTCCACCTCAAGAAATCCAATCCCTTGATTGCTTGCACTATCCTCCCTCACCAGCTTCAGCAAAGCCTCTGCAAATTGTACTGGGGGTAGAACCTCGTTACAGTCCAGAACAAGAACTAAGTTTGAGCTCACACCTAGCTCCTGCTGCACAGAACTGCCTGGAGCTCCACACAGACTGATCTCTTCATCCTTAATAAAAACTTCTGAAGCACAAGACATAGCTAACGCCTTTGAATCACCACCTTCCATGAGCTTAGACTTCTTCGACATCTCAGTTTCTTTCTTCCCATTAGGTAATTACCCAGACCTACTCCTCACAAGATGTCCCTTTTTACCGCCACTACTCAAAAGCTTTTTGAACCTTCCAGATTGCCCCTCCCCCTTAGCCAAGGTTTAAAATTTCGATACGATACGCCCTGTATTGAAAAACAGATACATGATATGCATGGAAATCGGGTGTTTCATCTTTTTTCATGTGTACCAGACCCGTATCGGGGGGTGTATCGAGACGTATTGACAAAAAAGATACGTCCAAAAACTAAAAAAAATAAATGGGAAAAACAAATTTCTTTTCCCTAAAATAAGCCTTCTTTCACCCCCAAGTGACTCTAAAACCCCAAACCTCATTCCTAGAGTGCTCTAGATTTGCAAAAATTTGTAAGAAACAGGTGTAAATTGTTAATTTTTTTTTGAAGATTTTTCAGAGTTTGAAAAAATATGGCAAAAATAGGTAAGTTTTTAAATTTTTTATAATACCTTGTAATTTCTTTTTTTTTTCTTGATTGTTTAAATTTATGTTGATCTACATTTCTTACATTCAAAATTACAACTTTTTTGTGTTATCAGTAGATTTATGGAAATTTCATGAAGATATTTGGGGAAAATATAAATTAAAAAAAATTTGAAAATGTAATTTTTTTTCTCTGCCTATAAAGACTAAATATGTTTTAGATCTACAGATTTATCCATCATATCCATAGAGCAATTGAAATTTCTTTTTTAATTTTTTATATTTTTAGAATTAAAAATAAATAATAATTAATTATATTTTATCATTTGATCACAAT